TCTTGAGGTCTTGTGTCATATCCAAGGAACCATCTTAGGTGAATCAGTAGCCATCCACATATACTGTTGACCGTTCTACTTCCACACGCCTTGATCTCAGAAGGTTATTCTTCTCGGATGCAAGGATTATCAAATCATCAAACTAGAAGTGTCAATCCTAGGGAGAATCGCATCAGAGTGTCTTCCAAACACTCTCACAAGCTAAGAAACGTCAGCCAACCTTTTAGTATGCTCTATTCTAGTATCAACACCATCATTCATCAATATGCTTATCACCAGAATATTTTATTTTTTGCAGCCCAAAATACTTTATGTTAGGCATATAACAGTATGTTGGATCAATATATTTTTAACCAGATGAAATGTTTTTAATTTAAATGGTTAAAAAATTATATATTCGTATTTTCACTAAATTTTTTTTTTTAGAAAACAACTTCACCAGAATTTGACTTCATCTCTTTGTAAACAACAACAAATAAGGGTGCAAATGGTTGAATACTTAGAGGAATAAATTAAATTGGTGGAATTTAACATCCCTGTAAATTTTTATCATTTAGATTGAATAAAAATTAGTGGAACTAAACATTTCTCTAAATTTATCACTTGTGTTAAAAAAGGTGATAAATTTATTCAACTAATGTTCCTCTACAGTGCTAGAGCATCTCGGTTTGAGTCCGAGTTTCTTTAGATCTATCATTTCTGGGCCAATGGAATTCATTGGATTAAAAATTGAGAGAAATAGATTTGAAGGAACTTTTTTTTGTTTTTCCACTTAATAATATTAAACTCATATTTGCCCCACCAATTCTACTAGTGTCTACCATTTGCACCTTTAAGTAATTTCAACTAAACGAAGAAAAAGTCTATGAAACAAATGTAACCCACTCTTTTTTTTTTTGGTCAACATGTAACACACTCTTTAAGAACAACGACAACCAACTGGCTTATTTACTCTTGCAACTAACTTATTTGTTCAGAATATTTTATTTATTTACTTTATTGAGAAATTTTAAAAATATCACTTTTATATGGACATTTATAAAAATATCATTTAAGAGTGTTCATTTACAAAAAACACCACTAATTATAGATTTTTAAACCCTATATCTTAAAATTCTAAACACRAAAYWATYTTTTGACCRCTAAAKCCRRDWAAACCCTCATAACTAAACCCTAATAGAACATAATTAACCCAAACATAAATAATATAAAGAAAACATAATTTTAAAAAAGTGATATTTTTATAAAGATTTTAAAAATATAGTATTTTTGTAAAATGACACTTGAAAAATAGTTTTTTTTGAAAATTTTCTATTTTATTTACAATATTTTGAGTTTGTTGGCTGTTGGCTGGCAATTGTTCGGCCACCAAAAACAAAAGCTGTCCGATATTTATCAGATAATAAATATAAATACAATTCTTTTTTATCATTATAAATTCTACTATTCGATGAGGTTGGATTTCACAATAACAATCAAAGTCCAATCAATAGAGTTGGTATGTTTAGCTACTACATTGTCTACGAGGACATGGACCGTGTCTACATGCACTTTGTGATGATGGGCGATTTTTTTTTTTTTTGGTCAAACAAGTTTACTTCATTAATTTAAACGATCAAAGTACAAAGAAGGGAGGGAATTAAACATCCTCCAGAATTACTACAACATAATTTAGAAGCAATAAAACATAAACAGATAGATCATCGCAAATGATTTTGACAGCAAATCCAAAGCATGTCTCGGATGCGTCAAGAGAGTCTTCGCGGCAAAGTCGGAGATTCTTAGGGTAGTCAATTTACCATGTGACTTTGAAGTTCCCGGCATAAAGCACGGAGTTCGACCACTCTCCATGAAAGGGAAAAAAATACGACCATATTCAACCATGTTTTATTGTTTGATTTCTCTTAAGGTAAATTATATATAAAATAGAATGATTATTTTATTGTTTTGATTACAATGATTACTAGTAGTAGTAATCAGCATTAATCAGTACATATTACTTAGGTAATGAACCTGTAATGCTCGGGGATTATTTTAGAGAAATTTATTCAGATTGTCACTAATTTGTTTATATATTACTAAACTAACACCAATTGAAAAACATTTAGTAAAAAAAGTGCCAAAAGACGGTTAACCCATAAAACTTTATTTTAATTACATTATTGTCATTTTATTACTTTAAATTTAATGAAAAAAAATATTAATTGTCCAGAAAACGAATTCACTTTCTTTTGCATTTATGGTTTTGTTTCAAAATCGATTTCGACAAAGTTCTTCAAAATCGAT